TTCTCTCTCACTCTCTCTCTCTCTCTCTCTCTCTCTCTCTTTCTCAAACAAAGAGGAAGTAATGCTTGCAGAAGAAAACAAGAATTCTGGGAGATCAGCGTTAGATGGTATGAATTTAATTTTAATAGCACATAAATAAATGTGTTGTCTCGTTTATGGAGAGTTTTTAAACCAGTTTTCATCTAGGTACAGTTTCGATTGGTAATTTCAATAATTTATCTCTTGTTAAAATGCAAGACTTTTATATAAAACTAAAAAATTTAAAATCTGTTATGGAAAATCAGTTTTAATGACTGCTGTTGTTGATCATTATGATATAAAAAATTATATATTTATAAACTGGGGAAGAGTTTAGCATATATATATATATATATATATATGACTTCCAGAGCCTCGATAAACATATATTACCTATTTCAGAAAATAATAATTTCAAAGGTTATAACTTAATTTTTGCAATTGTGAAACTACACACGTAACACATTTAAGTTATAAAAATGTTGTGGGAGCATTGTTTTGAAATGTTTCTAAAATGCTGGAATGTCCCGTTTTCTTGTTAAGATTATGACATTATTTAAAGGTTACAAAACATTTCTCAGAACATTCTATTAACATTATTTAACCCAAATTATAGCATTATTTGAACGTTTACGTTAATTTTCTAAGAACTTTAAAATGTCCAGTTTTCTTGTCTTGATTACAACATTATTTAAAGGTTACATAAACAAAATATTTCTTAGAACGTTCATCAAGTACAAATACCATCATAAGGACGTTCAGTGTTGATCTCAGAACATGTTCTCTGAGCGTTATAATAAAAAATGTATAACGTTATAAGAACATTCCATAAACATTACCTTAAGAATGTTTTGTCGTCTTTTTGAGAACATTCCCTATTAGCTGGGTAATATCAACTGCAACAAATACTTCCAGACAGTAACAGCATATTTGCATATTCTTCTAATTACTATACCATTATGATAAGAAGCATAAGGCCAACAAGTGGCACCATTTAACCCTTTTCATTTTTAGTTTTGAAACGGGCCACCAGCAAGAAAAATGCAAGGCGTCGAGGACCGGGAGAGGAGAAATATTCTGAAGTCTCTACAGTTGGTGAGTAAAATATAAATGCCATCACTTTGTTTTTATCCGCATTAAGGCTTGACTTGTTTTGCTTGACTTGTTTGCGGTATCATTCATCTTAACAGTATGACTGTCTGAAGGGAAGGAAAAAACCACTGTCAACACACAATCCATAAATTCATCTCCATTTTCAGGCTTTTGAAATATCACCACTGACTTTCCAACAGTGTGAAACAAAGATTCGAATCCAAATGACATTCTGTGAGTGTATGGATTTTTCTTTTTCTTTGGGTGTCAGGTGGCCCCCGACCGAGGGTTGGTATACGGACAGCAAGACGAGGGCCCGCTGCTTACTTGCGGCGCAAGGAACGCATGTTGCGGATATCTATTCGGCGAATGGTTAAAACCGACAGCTTCTATTGGATAGTCCTGAGTCTGGTGGCGCTCAACACCATCTGTGTTTCAATCGTTCATCACAACCAACCGGAATGGCTTACTATTATTCAGTGTGAGTATCTCAATCCCCTAATACTACTACTCATAGTAATATTCAGTGTAATAATTCATGAATGCTGTGAATTTATTGGCATTAAATTTGAAGTCTGTGTAAGCAGTTTTACTACTTTTATCATTCATAGTAAAAGCTTTCAGGTGTAGATAAGGTTTTGGGGTATTGTTGATCAAATATCTTACGTTGCTATTGTTCTTAGATTTGCATCAGTTCAGTGTAGGAAGACATTAATAATAATAATGGTTATAATAATCTGGTTAAAAGCATGCATGGCCACTCCTGAGATATACAAGCATGCTAATTTGTGTCGCTACAACTGCTTTTTCTTTATTAATGTTATGACCTCCAGATTAGCAATGGGGTATATTTACTGACATGCATGCAGCTTTACAGTCACATAGAATTTGTAAATCAACTTGATCGAGTTGATTTGTAAATGGGCTGGATTTCCCCAAAACTGGTTGAGCAGCTACGCAACTTCAAATGCTGCTAAATTTTCACTGAAACATGGTTGCATGACAACATCCCTGACTCGCCAATTCATACCAGGTTAACCTTCTTCCCCTTTAGCGTGTGAGTGCATCCCCATAAAAGTGAAAAGTGGAAAGCTCTGTGGATGATCTACTAACAATGTGCAAATTAAAGAACACAGACGCAACCAGCGCAATCTACCAAAAGCAGAACAACTAAGCATAGCCAAGCAGAGCCCGTGATAATAGCAATGGGGTATATTTACTGATATGCATGCAGCTTTACAGTCACATAGAATTTGTAAATCAACTTGATCGAGTTGATTTGTAAATGGGCTGGATATCCCCAAAACTGGTTGAGCAGCTACGCAACTTCAAATGCTGCTAAATTTTCACTGAAACATGGTTGCATGACAACATCCCTGACTCGCCAATTCATACCAGGTTAACCTTCTTCCCCTTTAGCGTGTGAGTGCATCCCCATAAAAGTGAAAAGTGGAAAGCTCTGTGGATGATCTACTAACAATGTGCAAATTAAAGAACACAGACGCAACCAGCGCAATCTACCAAAAGCAGAACAACTAAGCATAGCCAAGCAGAGCCCGTGATAATCAGGTGTGATTAATCTACTAACAACAGGAACAAGATGGGTTAAGACGTGCTTTTTGGGAGTGTTAAATAATGGTGCAAATACCAGTAAATTGACTGCCACAAACCTTCATTTAAATAAACTCCTCCCATAAATTTTGCATCTGAAAGGGAAACTCCTACAAATGCATATGCAATAAGGTCAGATGCAAAAATAACTGCTAATGTCTCACTGCACGTCTATAGTAAATCCTGACAGTTGTTTTTTTAACATTAAAAGAGGGTTTGCGCTGGCCCTTAGGGTTGCATTTTACCAGATACATTAGACCAGTATCATTCAGTTTACTAATCATATTCATTGTTTGAAATTAGGTTTTGTGGAGAGTTCAGAAAATGATCAGTAGACGGCCTCAGGGTTTTTCTAATGCAAGTCAAACAACCCATGGCATATGTAACTAGAGCACCATCTGTTACCCAGAAAGAAAGAATAAGCGCTGTTTAGTGATAGTGCTTGCCCTTAGGACAGGGGTGTCCAATCCTGCTCCTGGAGGACCAACGTCCTACAGATTTAGCTCCAACCAACCCCAACACACTTGCCTAGACGTTTCTAGTGAGTCTGACCAGTCCTTGATTAGTTGGGGTTTAATTTCGACCAAGGAGGAGCCCCCGGAACAAGATTTTGGAGCGATTTTAATAGCCAACTTCCCGCAGAACACTGTTATCGGGTTAGATTTGAGTAGCAATTGGGCTAGTTTTGTTATGCAGACCTGTTGCATAGTAAAAAAAAAAAAGTGCAAATTGCTGGTCACTGCGGTGTACTGCACTTAAAGCCACAATTTAAGGTTTTATTCTGTTCATTAATAAAAAAAGTGTTATCATCACAGCAGCTGTCCAGCCCGATCTCACGGCAATTCGTACATATTTTACGAGGTGGCTAATTTGTATGAACTCACTCGTACAAATTCATCCGATTTGTGCTAAATCGTACTTATTTTACGAGTTGCACAATTCGTATGAATTTGTACGAATTACCTACACCTAACCCCGCCCCTAAACCTGCCCGTCACTGGGGTCTAGACAAATCGTACAAAAATGTTTGAGTGAGTTTGTACGAATTCATACGAATTAGCCACCTCGTAAAATACGTACGAATTGGTCGTGAGATAGCGTTGAGCTGTCACAAGACAATACATTTCAAGTCTATTTTTTTTTAATTTAGAAGCCACGGAAAGAACATTTTGTAATTTTTTTATTAACCAACATACAATATAATACACTATTTTAAATGATTCATGTCATTCATTCGTTAAAATTCATTATATCAGCATAAGGCACATGGCAGTCATAATAGTTATTACAATTCAAGTCTAATTTATGGCTAAAGGTTGCAGGCTTGCGTTCCAGTGGCTTTGGCTTAACTCTGCTCTCTGGTGGGCCTCCATTGGGGACTGGACACCCCTGATGTATGGTGCTCAAGTCAGCTTACAGTCTCATCACAAACTCCTAGAAGCACCCACTGTTGCTTCTGATAAAAACATCTACAGCACAGTTTGCAGCTATGAAAAGCACATTTTATGAGGAGACATGCTGCAACTAACAGAACCACTTCTGTGCAACATTATGTTTTCCAGAGAAACTGCTGCTAATAAAATGACTTCACAAACATAGGCCTGTCAGACAGAAAAATGCCTCACTTTCTGCTCCACATGTCAGAAACGTTCTGTGTATTGATGACGGACATTTACTTAATGGTCCCCAGAGGTCTAAGAGTTGCTGAAATTACTCCATACGGCACAACAGGACATCCAGCACTCTGTAGCTCAAGGCAGGTTGTGTTGTCATAAAAGCTTTCTTAAGCTGTCACAGTGTTCCTGCATTTTCATTTCAAAAGACATGCTGAGACTTTTGTCAGAGTCTTTACTTAATTTTCATCAATTGCAACAAACAGGGATGTACTTTAGGCCAAATATTTTATTCTAAAAGGCTTGAATATTAACTCTATTTGAATAACACATTTTATTGTGTATCTAGCAACCCATCGAACCATCATTGTGAATGAGGCTTATAGAGCTTCATTGATTTTAATGGGAGCAATTTAGTTTTAAGGCTCGCTTCCAGACTAGACATGGTGTTAATACTTCGAAACCCACAGGTATTTACCACTTTACAAATTTTTTGACACTTAAACAATTTTTACGGTTTTCAGACTACGCAGAGTTCGTGTTTCTGGGACTTTTTCTTGCTGAGATGTTTCTGAAAATGTATGGCCTTGGTTTCCGTCTCTACTTCCATTCATCCTTTAACTGCTTTGATTGTGGGGTGAGTGAATCTTTTAGTGTTCATGTTTAAGTGTAAATGTAGATGTTTAAGGCAGGTCCTTAGAGGACAAAAATGTCTGTCAAAAAAATGTCATGAAAATATTATATATTACATTTTGTTCCACTTTCACTGACATAGATTGTTATTATCAGCCCTGATCAGAAGTACCAAAAATGAATTCATTTTCAGGATGTTAACCCTTTAAATGCCAGTATGTTTACATAATACCACTGTTTTTATTTTTATTTTACACTTTTGGATAAATCAATGATAACAATATTAATTTTGCATTTTTTTTTCTTGAGCATTATGATGATGATGATGATTATAGTAAAATAGTGGGGGAAAAAAACAAACAACTGAAGCCTTGCCAACAGAATGAAACCCTATTAAAAAATAATTCATGATTTTATTCTAAAATGGCACTGTAGTTAAATATTGCTGTTTTAGTGGGTTTCAAGGGGAACATGTTTGTCCTTAATGTCTTAAATATTTTTATTTATAAATTTTTTTGTACCTAGCGTAAAATAGATTGAAGGAAATGAGGGGGAAATATTAAACTTCCAATTAAAAATACATATTTTTGGCCAAAATTATGTTGGCATTAACACAGGCAAAATGGTCAATAAATAAATAAATAAAAAAGACTGTCCCTAACGACACACGAGGGTTAAACCATACAGTATGTCTGATGAATCCTGGCACCGATGAGAGCATAATGTTATGTGTTTTGTGCAGGTGATTGTTGGCAGTATTTTTGAAGTAGTTTGGGGATTCTTCAGGCCTGGAGAGTCTTTTGGCATCAGTGTCCTCAGAGCTTTACGTCTGCTACGAATCTTTAAAATAACGAAGTAAGTTTATATCATTTATCCAAGTAGTATCCTCAGCATTCTTTCAAGGAATGTTTTGCGTGATAGCCGCCAGCACATGCAAATGTTGTTGTTGACATGAAACTACATAAAAGCATGAGCGGGCATATAAAACAGATGTGTCTGCAACATTCTCTCTCGACTACAACACCAAAATAAAAGTATAATTGGTACTGTAAGAAACTTATATTAAAATCCAGTCACAAGTTATTGCTGCTTATGTATAAACTGTCCAAAGGCATTTTTTTTTTACTTGAATAGCAAATGCATAAAGAAAAGCAATGTTAAAGCAACATAAATGTTCCATTTAAAAACAATTGATCAATGTATTATTTATTGTTACATTTAACAACATTTTCAAATATGTATTTCATAAACAACTTTAAATATGTATATTTGTCGGTTTGAAAAAAAAAAATGATTTATTCACATTTTTTTTTTATTTCATTCATCAACTGAGATTGTTTGGAAAAAAATGCATTCATAATTGTTTTCTTTTATTGAATTTGTTTTATTTTTAAATAAGACTGATATTCAGACACAAATGCCATGAAATGTGTCTTTAAAATGTTGAATAGAGGACAAATGGATTTTAATGCAATTGTATTACTTTAAATATGGGACAGTTCCATATTATACAGAACGGTTGGTGTCAGGCAAATTTATTTTCACATGTCTTATGTATAAACTGTCCAAAGGCATTTTTTTTTTACTTGAATAGCAAATGCATAAAGAAAAGCAATGTTAAAGCAACATAAATGTTCCATTTAAAAACAATTGATCAATGTATTATTTATAGTTACATTTAACAACATTTTCAAATATGTATTTCATAAACAACTTTAAATATGTATATTTGTCGGTTTGAAAAAAAAAAAGATTTATTCACATTTTTTTTTTATTTCATTCATCAACTGAGATTGTTTGGAAAAAAATGCATTCATAATTGTTTTCTTTTATTGAATTTGTTTTATTTTTAAATAAGACTGCATATTCAGACACAAATGCCATGAAATGTGTCTTTAAAATGTTGAATAGAGGACAAATGGATTTTAATGCAATTGTATTACTTTAAATATGGGACAGTTCCATATTATACAGAACGGTTGGTGTCAGGCAAATTTATTTTCACATGTAATTGCGTTCAAACAATCTGGCTCTTGTGAGAATATTGTGAGGCACTTTAACGGTTTTGTACTGTATGGAAAAATTGGCAAATAATGGCAATGTAAAGAAATGTGTGATGTTTTGTCTTTTTGATCAGGTACTGGACATCCTTACGGAACCTGGTGGTTTCCCTCATGAGCTCCATGAAGTCGATCATCAGTCTGCTCTTCCTTCTCTTCCTGTTTATCGTAGTCTTCGCTTTACTTGGCATGCAGTTGTTTGGTGGAAGGTGAGAATGTGAATCTGGTATGAGAGTGCTGATCTCGCTCAGTCTTTCTCACAGACAGACATGAAGATATACTGTACTCAAATGTGAAAATAAAACGTTACATCAAATCATTAAAATATACAGTTCAAAAGACTTTGAAGGAAAAAAAATGAACTTAAATGAAGTCTCAATACCAACCTACCTACTGTAACGCCTCACAATCTACACACACACACACACACACACACACACACACACACACACGTGAAGAACACTTTCCACACACTTGTTTCAGTGTAACTGTGTGACATTAGTTTTGTGTAGTATACTGTAATGCAGGGGTTCTCAAATTTTTCTTAGAACATTCTAAAACTAAAGCTGTTGAAAGAGTTAATTCTCTTGCACAGGTTCATCTTTGAAGATTATACTCCTACTAATTTTGACACGTTTCCAGCAGCCATCATGACCGTCTTTCAGGTAAGCCTCGACAGATCACTATGGATGTAAACATAGTAAATACTTTTGAATCATAAAGCTATATATATATATATATATTCACCTCATATTCAACTTAATTATATTATTTAGTATGATTACGACAATTTGTTACATTTACATTGCAAGCCTTAAAGGGTTAGTTAAACCAAAAATGAAAAATGGGTTTTACTCACCCCCGAGGCATCCTAGGTGTATATCACTTTCTTCTTTCAGACGAATCCAGTCGGAGTTATATTAAAAATGGTCTTTGATCTTTCAAGCTGTTTTCATGTGCAAAAGAAGTTAAATAAAAAGCGCCCATGCATAAAAAAAAGTGTCTCACACGGCTCCGGGGGGTGAACAAAGGCCTTCTGTAGCGAATCGATGCGTTTTTGTAAGAAAAATATCCATATTCAAAACGTAATAATCACTTGAATCTAGCTTGCGCTCACTGTTGTAAACAGAAGCAGTTCCGGGGGAATGACGTATGAGGTCGGCTTTGCACATGCGCCGCTCAAAAGTGACGCATGCGGAAGCGCAGCGGAGAGATCAAAACAAAACAACGTCATGAATTAGAACTACAAAACGAGGATTTGTAAAGAAGCATGTCAGAGGATTTCGATATAAGCCAAGAGGAGACTGGTTTTCCTTTGCTAAAGTAAGGAAATTTTGCTTCCTTTGATCCTGTTAACAAACGTTGGTTTTCACGAGACTCACCGGCGCATGCGCAAGGGTGAACTAACCCTTTAACTTTTATATTATTTAAACTGCTTTTTTAAAATAATTAATTCAACATAGATTCTTACTGGAGAGGACTGGAATGAGGTGATGTACAATGGGATTCGCTCACAAGGAGGGGTGCAGTATGGCATGTGGTCCTCAATCTACTTTATTGTTTTAACCTTGTTTGGGAACTGTATCCTTTTTAGCAATAATTAAAAAATTAAGACTAAAAAATAGACAAAAGATGACGGAAAGCAGTGTAATATACTGGTCTACATTGATTTAATTTTGTTGTTGCACATGAAAACAGTGTTGCAAGCAAGTAAAGCTTGTAATGCTCATTCTATTCAGTTCTACCCAAATTCTTGACGATGTTGTGAACAGACACATTGCTCAATGTATTCTTGGCTATTGCTGTGGATAATCTAGCCAATGCACAGGAACTAACTAAGGTAAGAAAAAGAAAGGTAACACATTACAGTTGTCTAATAAACATGTAAATGTAATATTTTGCAATAGAAATAACACTGACTGTGTACCAGAAATAATCCCCAAAAATGTAATAGCATATTATGTATGTTTCTCATTAGCTCTACTGTGTAATTCCTATGTATGTCTGCACTATCATGTATGTTTGCACAATGTCTGTACTTTCTTCTGTGCTGGTAGCTCCTGTCGCCAAGACAAATTCCTTGTGCGTGTAAACACACATGGCAATAAAGCTCTTTCTGACTTCATTAGTATACCTTTAATTATGTATCCAGTGCATTAACTTTTGTGTGCATTTTATATAAAATTACTATTCATGTACTTAATTTAAGTGCATAGTGTATTCATAGTGTATGCTGTTAGGTAGGTATATTGAAGAGTATTTTTTGTGTTAGGAAGAAGAGGAGGAGCAGGAAGAGTTCTTCAATCAGCGTTCTAAATGCAGAGAATTTGGCCTCTCTGAGTAAGTTTTTTATTTATTTTTTTTCGTTTTTTGCTCTGTCATAACCTGTTTTTCAAACTAAGGATACAGTTCCCTATCATGTATTAAGAAGCTGGTAAGCATTCTAATTAACTAGCAATAATTTGGTGTTGATTGCTGACTGTTGCAAATCTTCTTGTGCTTGAGACATGCTTTTAAACAATTATGTCACTATGCTGCTATGTAATTTTTCAGACCCATCAAACACATGAACAGAAGTATCATATATGAATGTACCATTTGTCTGTCATGTTTTTTGATCAGTCTTGGTTCTGGTCAAATTTGATAGGGAAGATCACAAAAACACTTAAATTGGTAAACTGGAATGACTGGATAGTTTTATTTTTTGTCTTTAAATCTTGGTTATTGAGGGCGTACGAATTTCATTATTTATTTTCTTTCTTTCTTTTTTAATCTTTAGTTGCTAGGAAACTCAAGTGCCTACGCCACAGGGGAATAGTCTGTTTATTTTATAGAAGAAAATCAATATGATATTAGAGTGATTACAAGCTTTAGCTTAGTACAGTAGACAGTGGAGTTTAGATTTAAAAGTACATCATACAAAATCACAGAGTCGGTAATGAGCAGAGGTAGAATCCAAAAAAAAAAAAAAAAAAAAAAAAAAAGAAAGAAAGAAAGTTACCAGTATAATTATTGTGCCCTATGGATTATTTCCTTTCTATGGTTTTGCATATGACTATCTTTCCATCTGGCTTTTGGCAAGATAGTTTTATGGATAGTTTCTATTTAGGAGTTCAGTGCATCCATTTTATTCATTTTAGATCTAGGTCTAAAGCAATGGTGTAAACTCCTGCTCCTGGAGGGTCACCGTCCTGCAGTGTTTTACTCCAACCCTGATTAAACACACGTGAACAAGCTTAATAAGGGCTTTGGGATTACTTGAAAATTACATGCAGGTATTTCAAAGCAGAGCTGAAGCTAAATTTTGCAAAATGGTGTCCCTGCCAGAGCAGGATTTGATACCCCTGGTGCACCCTGCAGTGTTTTACTCCAACCCTGATTAAACACACGTGAACAAGCTTAATAAGGGCTTTGGGATTACTTGAATATTACATGCAGGTATTTCAAAGCAGAGCTGAAGCTAAATTTTGCAAAATGGTGTCCCTGCCAGAGCAGGATTTGATACCCCTGGTGCACGATATGTGATGCATTTTCTTTGCCTATAATACATTGTAGCCAAGACTTGGAAAGTGTTGAGTATTTTACGTCATCAGTCTGTGTTGACTGTGGCATTAGTTTCTGTCCTCTTACTGGATCTTTAGTAGACAGGCGTCATATATGTAGTTACATTGCAGGACTGCGACCCAAAATTTCTGACTGCCAGAATTTGGAGGCTAAAATTCTCTGCAAAATCAATTAATGAGCATGGCACACTAGGGAGTCTAAGACTGCTGATTTGTCTATCGTAAGCATTTATGTTTGCCAAAATTTGGCAGCAAAATTGTATTGTGTACGCTTGGCTGAAAGGTAGCAGTGAGATAAAACTTGAGTTTTGATGAAAACAAAGCTACTAGTGACAGATGACATTGCACCACTACTGCAGCCTTCACCTTAGTTTTTCTCATTGGGGAGAGACTGTGAGCTAATAAGGAATGGGCCATAAACTGTCAATACAGCACCAGTGCCAAACAATGTGACATCAATTACAACAACAAATGGCAGGGATTGATTTGGGTGCTTTAGTGTTGGTGCAGTGGTTAAGCTGTTAGTATCAGCCCCTGTCCACGGGTTTCCACTTATTTTGGCCTCTTTTAGGTCAAGGGACTGCAATAGTACTTAACTTTCTGATGACCATGCAGTACAGATTTGCAAAGGCTAAGAATCTTTGAAGAATCTTCACAGTTTTAGGTTGTGGCAGCTTGGACCATTGAGGCCTCAGTTTTTATTATGTGAGAAGTACAGTATGAGTGTTTCCTAGGAAGAAGACTGGAAGTAAAAAAAAAAAAAAAAGAGTAGTAACTTGGTATATGATTTTATTCAAAGTGACTTACACATTCTTATTACAGGGCCAATTATTCTGGAGTAACTGGAGTTCTTTGAACAGCTTGAATGTACCTAATAATTTTGAAGTCAGCAAACAGCTGAAATTGTTGTTTAGTGCCGTTTAGCCTGTTTCGCCACTCCTCCAGTGCGAGCAGTTCCTTATTTTCTCCATCTTAAGGGGCTTTCACACAGGGTTGTTATAGGAACTCAGTTATAGGAACTAGCCACCAGGGCAGTCCCCCCGAGAACCTGTAAATTCGTTGTATTAACAGATCAGTTTCATGCAATCTTGGCAAGGGACAGACCCAGGGGAACAACTTTATTTAAGTTACCAGTTGTTATAGTTTAAGGATTGCACCTTGTGACCTCAAACGTTTCTGTTTCCTGTACAGATTCTGTAACAAAATACAAGTAAGTAGCAAACAAATCCTAGACAATATTAAAATAAGATCAAATAATGTCAGGAATTGTGTAATAAAATGGCAGGACTTTTGCAAACCAATTCAAAAAATATCTAGAAAGACTTGGAAATTAGGACAATGGGTAGTGGCAGTGATAAATGGACAAGAGTTCAAACTTTGTTTGGATGCAATCACAGCAAGACCTTCATTTACTTTCAAATCATGTATCATGCTCAGTTGCATGGTTCTAATGAAGTTTGTTCTTCTCCGCAATGCTGTTAAAACCAAAATTAACTTTTCAGTATTGTAGTCAACTATATGTGTTGCTCTGGGGCTCAGGATATTTGCCCACTCCTATCCAAGTTGCTTCATTACTTGAGAACCGATGGTGGAGACCACAATGGCATCACAGCTTGGCATTAAAAGTCTCTCTAATTGTTGCAAAGGTGAAAATGACAAAACCATTGAACCACTCATTTATGGTCCAAATCTTCACTGTTCTGTGATGTGTGTGATGCTTTAAAATGCCGATACACTGCCTAGTCTTGTCCAGAAACCAAACCTCTGCAGGATAGTGGACCATGAGGGCCAGATTTGACCACCCCTGCTCTACTGTATTGAATTGGTCTCTGTAACAAGTGGAATTGATCAACTGGAATTGGTCTCTGTACTTGAAGTGTTTAGTGTTTCAACACAAATCTAAAACACCAGTTTGGCCAGGTGTCTTGTAATATTATATGTGCAGAAGTTTATGCTGTTGACAATCAGTCAGCGGGTGTGTGTGTTTTGGGGTAGCCATAAACACAGAGCAGATTTCTCAGGGTTATAGAGGTGGCGGTAGACAGCTTTATACTGCTCAAGTCCACAACCACCTTCTTATACTTGTAGGACAAGAATAGTCAATCCTGCTCCTGGTAAGCTATGTACCTTCTTGCAGACTTCAGTTCCAACCCTACTTCAGCACACCTGATTATAATTTTCAAGTAACTCTGACACCTTGATTAGCTGGTTCAGATCTGTTTTATTAGGATTGGTGCTAAACTCTGCAGGATGGTAGGTCACCAAGAGGTTTTTTACTACTGTTGTAGATTTGCTAATATTAAATATTAGTTAATAGAAGCTTGGCTAATTTAACATTGTAGTCAGATTAAGTACAACAGTGCATCTTTTGTCTTCAGAGAAGAAATGTATGTTCTGATCTCTGCAGAGTGACATCTGGACAAAATCGTGAAATGGTTTGAACAATGAAGAAACACATCCAGTTGATTAGTTTCTCTCGTTTTATTATAAAAGTTGCTTCCATAATGACAAATACAGCTTAAAGTTAGTTACCAATCTAGTACTGTAGCTGTCCAGTCCCAAGTTTATTGGTATTATGAGTTGAAAAGTTTGGCATTGCCATGGGTAAGAGACAATGGTACGACAGAAAGGGCACGTGAGAATGGACCAACAAATTAATCAATAGCCATTGCAATATTAAGAGATATCAAACTACACTATCAAAAACACTGGACAAAACTATCTCTATCTAAAACATTTCACACAAATGTGTGATGTGGCATTAATGGCATTGAAATGCCAAAGAACCCCATAACTGTTTAAAACAAGGTTTCTCAATTCTGCCCCTCGACATCCACTATCTACAGAGTTTCTTTCCAACCCTGATCCAACTCAACTGCCTGGAACTAAATACTTAAGACCTTGATTAGCTTGTTCAAGTGAGTTTGATTAGGATTTGAGCTAAACTCTGTAGGCCAGTGAACCTTCGAAGGCCAGAGGTGTGAAACATCTCAGGTTATGTATGTAAACATGGGGATGAGGAAATGGGAATAAAGGGAATGAGGCGCTGCGTTGGAACGTTTTTGGGAACACCTCTGCGTGACCACATTCTGAAGCACGTGTGGAATCAGTCCAATGGAGAAGCGAGACGTCACTAGCGGGGTGATGTGAGCAACCAGGAGGTTTAATAGTGCACCCGGCACAGTGCATGTTAGCTTCTGACAGGATGAAGTAAGCACCTACAGAGGTGCAGGGAGTATGGCAGAGAGATGCAGCATCTTGTTCCCTTTAGGGAACCATGGTTACATACATAACCTGAGACGTTTCCCTGCAGGGAACTCAAGCTGCGTCGGAAGGCTTTGGCAATGAGAATGCCCACTGCGCCATACTTACAAGTCCCTGTCTGGTGTGTATCAGGCAAGCACATCAAGACGAGAGGACTTGGGATCCTGGGGTAGAAGCCAGGTCTAGATTATAGGACCAAACAAATGTGTGCTGACAGGACCAGCCCACCACATCACAAATGTCCTGCAGAGAAGCACCCATGAATAATGCCTCAGAGGATGTCATACTCCGGGTTGAGTGGTCTCTGACCCCCATAGGTGCCAGAGTAAGCAAGTGAGATGGCCTCGACTCAGGGTCTGCTTGGTCGCCGGCAAGCCCTTCTTAGGTGGACCAAAGCAAACAAACAACTGATCTGCCATACACCACAGGGCAGCTCTGTGGACATCATAAGTGCTCGCACTGGACAGAGCAGATTTAGCTTCTCCTGGTCAGCTTCCTGGAAGGGAGGAGGACAGAAGGCTTGCAGCATTATGGGCCCTGGCGTAGAGGTGGGCACCTTTGGGACATACCCTGGCCTCAGATAAAGGAAGGCTTTAACCATGCCCGCGGCAAACTCCAGACACAAGGGAGAAACTGACAGTGCCTGAAGATCCCCTATCCTCTTGAGTGAGTATATAGCAAGGAGGATATGTCTTCAAGGTGAGGAACTTATGTGAAACCTCCTCAATGAGTTCAAAGTCCTCCAGTACCACCCCCATGTCTCACAAGGGCACTTCGGTGCACTGTGCTGGCCTCATCCTCAAAGTGCCACAGAGGAAACGGACTTCTTCCCAATGACTGACCACCCAAAGGGGCGTGGTAAGCAGCTATGGCCACCATGTACACCTTCAGAGTGGATGAAATGCTCCTGCAGAAACTCCAGAACTGAACTGTTTCTTGCAGTCGTTGTCCGCACCAAGAAGTAAAAAGTTTCCACTTCAGGTCATATTGTTTCCTTGTGGCGGGAGCTCTGGACTGGAGTATCGTCTCAACAACCTCAGTTGAGAGACCGGATGCTAAGAGCTGTGCCCCCTCAGGGGCCACACCCACAGTTTCCATAAGTCCAGGCGGGGGTGAAGGATGGAGCCCCTCGCCTGAGAGAGGAGGTCCCTCCTGATCGGAATCTCCAAGAAAGAGCCATCGATAAGGGACACAAGGTTCAAGCCATACCCGGGCCGGCCAGAACGGGGCTACTAGCAGAAGACAGACCCTGTCCCCGGGTACACTCTCCAGTACTCCCCTGTAGCAGAGCGATCAGGGGAAAAGCATACAGATAAGAACCAAGGTTTCCTTAACATGTCTAAGGCATGTAAGCATCACCACGTGACCTTGACCATGCAAAGTGGGTTGCCCCTCGGGGAAAACCCCTTGGTCCCAAGCCACCACTGCAAAGGTCTCATGTACAGCAGGCCAAAGGGTATCGCGTTGAACGCAGCTGCCATCAGACCTTACAATCTCTGAAACTGTTTGACAGTGAGTGACTGGCCTTCTCTCACTCTCTTTACAACTTTGAGAATTCAAAACTTTGAGAACTCAGACCTGATTTGAGACACAATCTATTTGATCTTGAACCGAAAGCATTTGATAGCACGGTTCAGCAGATGCAGATCTATGATCAGATGCAACCCCCCATCCTGCTTCGGAACAATGAAGTATCGGCTGTAGAACCCGGACTCTCTTGAGAGAGGAGGAATACGTTCTATGTCCTTCTTCCTCAAGAGAGTGTCTACTTCTTGTTCCATTACCAGAGCCTGCTCTGGCCCACTATTGTGGGGACAACCCCATTGAAAAGAGGTGGCGAGAACCAAACTGAATTCTGTAGCCTCTCTCTACAGTCTGGAGGACCCATTTAGAGACATTTGGCAGAAGTTTCCACGCTGCCAGAAAGTCTACTAAGGGAACCAACCTCTTGGGGCTGGCCTCTGGTATGGCTAGAGGAGCAATTTCAGTACCCTGAACCGGATAACCGGCAGGGAACGACCAACTTGATGGCTCTAGCCCCTTCACTTGAGGGGATGAGCATTCCTGTGCCGTACCATTGCCAGGCGGCAGCTGGGAACTTAGCTTGTTGGAGCCCACTGAGCCCAAAGCACCGGTGGTGGCAGGGGTATTAGCGGGCCTGAGGATGCCAGCCCCTCTGAACTGGAGTCTGTTGTAGCTAGAGAGTTTAATTTGGTGTACTGAAGTCGACCGGTGCCAGCGAGATCGCGAGCCTGGCCGCTCTCATCAAAGAGAGCCAGGAGGAAGCGGTGCACATGCAGTGGCAGCTGCTCACAATCAGGACAGTCATTTCCCTCGAGAGCTGACCATGCATGCTCTGCTCCCAAACAGACGTCGCAAAGATTGTGTGATAACGACGGCAGGGAGGAACACACAATCTATAGTGCCATCCGATTTACTTTTGTTTTTACTCTTTGACATTATCCCTGTCTTACTAACAGAGATATACTGACTGAATGAATGCTTCTGCAACACATACAAAGACACCACAACACACTTACTGAAGAGCAAAAGCTAACATGCGCTGTGCCAGAGGTGCACTTTTAAGCTTTCCTGGTTGCTCACGTCACCCTGTTCGTGATGTCTCGCTTCTCCATTGGACTGATTCCACACGTGCTTCAGAATGTGGTCACACATAAGTGTTCCCAAAGCATTCCGACGCAGCTCGAGTTCCCTGAGGGCGAACCTCTTTTTAACTTTTTATAGCCTTATGAGTTGACTTGTGTGCAGTCTGGCAATATGGATTGTTTGGTATGTCCTGCCTGCAAATACACTAATGGCTTATTTTCAATTAATCATTTATTTGGTTTCATGGACAACAAAAGAATACGCATAATTGTAAGTAAAACTGTCTATGTATCTTTTTATCTGTCATGTCTGCCATTAACATTGCACTGTCCATCTCATCAACATTCCGGATTACCTGCTGACATGTAGATCCTTTGTGCACTCTGTTTCTCTTGTTTTCTTTCTTGTCTGTTTATTTTTATTAGTCAAGAATTTCCCCCTGGTTTTCTCTTGAATTCCGTTTTATTTAGCCTGAATCAATAGCCATTGTTTTTATTCTAATTTCCTGATTTTTATCACACACCCTTGTGAATTGTGAAATTTGCATGCTGCAAATTATATACCTTTTGTGACTGAGATGTATCATGTCCGTGCAGACGGAGACGGAGACCGTACTTGTACAGGAAGCGTGCCATCCACCGAGGACGACCGTCTCCTGCAGAGGCAGAGGAGGAACCCGTTGGGAAACAAACAGAAGAGCAGCCCGTCAATGCTTTTGCTGGCCGCCGTGAAAGATGCAAAAAGATAAAAATTTCCGTCTGGGAGCAACGGACAAACCAGCTGCGGAAACGTCGGCAGATGGCCAGTCGTGAGGTGCTGTTTGGCAGTCCCACAGAGGATCAGTTGGACACTCCAGTGAGTGATCATCACCAACAGGGCTGCATATCCCCAGAAACGAGCCCTTTACACTTGTCAGAATCACCTATGTCTGTGGGGATGCCCCTGCCAGAGCCGCCCATGTCTATCACCATTCCACTCCCTGAACCTCCAGAATCTGAGCCCTTGCCCCTGACAGGATCAAGATTGGAGGAGAGGCCGAACGCTAATAACCATCATTCAAATACAGAGAGGAAGCATCGTGTGGCAAGGAAGTTTCGGGCTGCTGCTGCTGCCGGGGTAGCAGAGGGTGGGCGACACAAACGCCACAGACATCGAGAGTCCAGAACAGAGGCCAGAAATGCAGAGAATCACCAGCAAATTGGGTGCAGTGAGAAACAGCCTGAAGAGGGTGAGGATAAAATGGAGGAAACGCAGTCTAAAAACTTGATGCACATGTACGAAACAGAAATAATCATGTCTGGCAAGCAAACTGAGAATCAGGAGGAATGCCAAAGGTAAGGACACAATCATGTCTTATTTTCTTTTAGTAAGTTATGCAGTTAAGTTGCTAGTTTACGTTCAATGTTGTGGTTTGGTGAAATGCTTATTTGAATTTAGCCTAATATTTTTGACAAATGTTACAATCCTGTTACAATCCTAGTTGGTAACACTTTATTTTGATGATCCCTTTAGACATTCTGTTGAGTATAAGTAACTTTGAAACTACGTGTTAACTACCAGTAATTAGTAGTGCTGGGTAGTAACTGATTACATGTAATCTGGATTATGTAATCATATTCCAAAAATGAAGTACTTGATTATATTACATTTTAAAATACTTTAAAATCAAATTACAGTTGCTTTCAATTGATTACATGATTGCATATTGTTCAAACAATAGCAATAAATTATTCACAATTTCTTGATTTTCACTAGTTTTCTTTTTCATCTTTTAAATTTTACTTTCTAAACATTCTGAAAGTTTTTAAGTTTTGTGGACATTTACACAAAGACCAGCCACTAGTCAGATGGATATAATTGCCCAGAAATGTTAGAGTCTACAATGCATTTGACCACTGGTTTTACAAAAAGTATTTTGATTTTAAGAAGTGTTTTCTCAATATTTTTTAGCATCGCATCAACTATTGATGAACACATTAATGTTTATTTGAATTATCGCTCAGTGGGTTATTTTACCATGTATCTCTATGTCTATATAACATACATAAAACACATATATATAAAATGTTATTTCTTATTTACATAAACAGGGATTACCAAACTTTTGGTAATGCAGGGATTACCAAACTTTTTTTAATAATGCAGGGATTACCAAACTTTTTTTAATAATGCAGGGATTACCAAACTTTTTTGTCAGCCAAACCTCTTTCACCACATATCTAACTAGAAGGACCCCCTGAGATTTAACGCTAATAAGTTAATAATTTTGTAACAAATTTGCATGTTCACAGTCCTCTGACGTTAGTTAATGGTCACATGACATGCAGGTAAACAATAAAATATGTAATCTTTTTTAGTAAGTGTTTTATTTTGATTGTTGTTATCGTTCACAGTCCTCTGACGTTAGTTAATGGTCACATGACATGCATTATCAGGTAAACAATAAAATATGTAATCTTTTTTAGTAAGTGTTTTATTTTGATTGTTGTTATTTTAAAATGATTTATTTTAATTTTACATTTTTATGATTTAATTAATTATTAGCTTATATCATTGTGATAAACGAGTTAGGTCAAAAGTAATCAGAAAGTAGTCTGAATATATTACCTAAAATGTGTAATGTAATGGATTATGCTACTAACTACATTTTTTGCCATGTAATTTGGAATCAGAATAGGGGATTCCAATTTGTAAGTAATCTACCCAGCACTAGTAATTGCAGTATTAGAGTAGTATAGTAGTATCAATAGACTGTAAGGTTATGGTAACTGTTAGTAGAACAAGTTGACTTGTACTTGCAAAGTTACTTATAATCAGTAAAATGTGTGTTGGGGACTAAAAATAAAGTGTTAACAGATATTAAGCAGTCTACTAATACTCTAATGACATGTCATTGCAAAGTTACAACAGAATGTCTAAAGGTGAAGATTATTTTGATCTTCACCTTTAGAAATTCTGTGTTAACTTATGGTTAAATGTAACTGAGCTTGTTTTTTTCATTTGTTGAAGTTGTTTTGCTAGGCACAACACACAGCAAAGTTATGAAACATGTTTTCCTTATTTTATAAGATCAAATATTCACACCTGTACGTTTGTATTTTAGGGAGTTTGTGGGTGATGCGACAGGGATTTCCCAAGCATCTGGCCTTCAGGAGCTTCAGACTGTCTGTACTGGAATGGAGGATCAAGCAGAAAGCCAGGAAACTCCATTTCTGAGGCACAAAGAAGAGTTTACATCAGAATCCAAGTGCATGACAGGGGAAGTCTCAGACATTGAAAACAATGGCAGCTATCTAAACCAGGATGAGTGTATGATAGAAACCAGCATTAAACGAGAGACGTCAACCCAGCCTTTGTTGGAAATGGCACCAATGACTGGTATTTGATCCATGCATCCATCCATCTGTCCATCCATCCATCCATGCATCCCTCTTTCCATCCATGCATCCCTCTTTCCATCCATCAATCCCTCCGTCCGTCCATCAGTCCGTCCATTCATCCATCCCTCCTTCCATCCATCCGTCCATTCATCCGTCCATCCATCCCTCCTTCCATCCGTCCATCCGTCCATCCGTCCATCCATCCATCCATCCATCCCTCCTTCCATCCATCCATCCATCCATCCGTCCGTCCATCCATCCATCCATCCATCCATCCGTTCGTCCGTCCGTCCATCCATCCATCCATCCATCCATCTTGTTTAAATGGTTCTTTACAGTGCAGAGTATGTTTTCTCTGGATTGGTCTTCTAAAGTATTTACCATTTTATCATACCAATTTCTAGAGTTTTTTTGGAGGGTAGAACCAAACCAAAACTGCCACTTTAAATAGTAAAGAAAAATATCCTATAAAAAAAAGTTTTTCACCCTTTGCCACGACTAGTCACTTTTAAATCGTGTCTTGTGGTGACAAATGCATTTTTTACAATTACAAATACTCCAGCCTCTTAATTAAAAATAATGCATGCAAGAAATAGCAAAGTGATGTTTAAAGGCATTATTTGAAATATAGCATATCAAGCCACATAACATGCCAATCTCCAAAAAATAAGTGCCTTTTTGCATTTAGCATTGTTTTCCCTGGTAATTTTATCAGAATACACCTGTGAGAACCATTTCTTTTACACAATATGTATTATATACAGTGCATGGAATGAAGTGTGGATTATGAATTGAATAACTGAAATAAGCAGTTCTCAGCAATGAAGTGCCTGCTGTGTTTGGTTTGGTTTGCATAGCAGTTTTTCAGAGGAAGATGATCAAAGTGCAACAGTATTGATTTGTAGTGAAGTAGTTCAGCTGCTGATGGCTGAGTCCTGAAGGAGCGGTGGACAGCAGCCATTGATTCTGTTTGCAGAGGGGATAATTCGCTAAAGTGAGGACACATTCATTAATGGAGACACAGAACTGGGTCATCATCAATGCCTGTGGCAATCGAAGCTTCTTCAGCTGTCTCCGAAAGTAAAGAGCAGTTCGCCTTTAGAGTGTTCTGTTCTATTGCTTTAGTGGGCTTCGTGCTGGGTGTTGGGTGAAATCTGGGTTAGTGTTCACTGTGTGAAAATCTACAGTAGAAGCCATTCAGCCCCCCAAACCCAACACAAGATAAAAAAAGTGCGACTCAGTGGGCACAGGTTTATGGCTTCCTGCCTGTAATAAAAGCAAAAACCCAATTTCATCTCAGATACACACAATTACAGGTAATCGTGGTCAAAACCTAGGAGATAAAGCTTTCGCAAATCATATCAACTGAGTGAATTTCATTTGTAAATATATGTGAGAGAGAGTGCCTAGCAAAAGACAGTCTAGTTACACAACACACCAGACAGAAACGTATAGGCATGCTGACAGTTCAGAAATAAAGCTTTTATATGTGCAGTTCAATGCATGTTCAGTGAATGCCCAAACATATGTACTTTGAGACCTGCAACACACTTGCCAGCTATTTGAAGTCTGATATATTTACCCTGGCAATCACACTCCATTCACAGTTTCAGAGCTTCAAAGCGACTCTTTGTTGCAGCATGCAAAATCGTTACATATGATGAAGGGCTTAATTTGCGACTGTTATGAAAGTATGTTCTATAAAGTATGCATGCATGCAGTATGAATACAATCCAGACATACTTATATCATGTAGGCATGTATGACGTGTCCTACACCATCAGTATCGCTACCTTGCCATTCATAGCTTCTTTCCTTTTGCCTCAAGAGATAGTACATCTCAAAGATTGATAGGAAGTATTGGGTCGTCTGCTTTTTGAATACAGCTAATTTTGACATACTTCTCATTTCATGCACTGCTTTTCACAGTAGGGATGAAGGCATATTTGGATGCAGGGGTGATAGAGGTTTGCACAGGCTTTTATTTGATGCCCAAACTCTCCCTGTACCTGAGATGATTTGTTCTGATCCAACCTGATCAGCACTGTCAAATTTTAAGACACAAACCAACCTAAACCCCAAAATTGCACGCTCTCTTTAAATTTATTCTTACCGCAAATAACCTCTAACCAGTTAATCTCAAAAGTACAAAAACATTTCTGTCTGAAAAAACCTTCCAAAATAAACATTTCTGTAACAAAATCACATCTAAAAAACACATGATGAATAAGCATTAAGAATTCACAGCATTGCATTACAATAGCACTTTTAATGTTGTCTCAGGAACTTTTCACAAGGACCGTTTTCACGTGTTGTTTTTGTTAAATGCGTGTTTATTTGTATGTTACTTATAAAAATATTTTAAATAATTGGTTTAATTCTGAACTTCTTGTCAAGTGAAATATCATTTTTGTCAACACAAATTAAATGCCATTTTAGTCAGAGTAATAGTTACTGAAATTATTGAATATAGCATGGCTAAATTTAGAGGATTTTTTAACCAATAGCCATTTTTTGTTTTATTTAACTCATTTTACACGGCTAGATACATTTGTGTGCAAAACAAGTGAGAATGAAAGCAAAATACTTAAAAATAATATTTTTTTTTCTTTAATTACAAACCCAAACCTGATGTTATGCATGAAAAACTAGCCCAAATCCAACAGATTTTCAGATTTTGTTATGCTTGAGTGGGAACATCAAAATGAAATAAGTTCAAGAACAGCAGCCTTTTAAAAAATGTCATTACATTTAGTTTTAAGGTGTTCTTGTTACAGTGCAATTTTATATTTCAGTACTGAGTAATATTAATTTACAACATGCACTTTCACAACATTATTATGAGGATTTCAGCTAGTCATATCCAGTGTTGGGGAAAGTTACTTTTAAAAGTAATGCATTACAATATTGCGTTACTTCCTAAAAAAGTAACTAATTACGTTACTTAGTTACTTTTTATGGAAAGTAATGCATTAAGTTACTTTTGCGGTACTTTCGCGTTACTTTTTAAATATGAGCAGGACTTGATTGTTTTTAATATAAGAAGTTCTATTTATAGCAAATATAAAAGCCCTTTCACACCAAAAAGTGTAATGAATAAACCTCAGACTGAAGGAAAAGTAAATTCACGTCTGTACAGTAGAACACAGGAGAAGAAGTTTCAACACTCACAATTGTTAGTTTATCTAAAATAATTTTTGCTTATTAGTATGGTTGAACTGGATCATCAAAGGTCAACAGCAAAGACATTGGTTAATAAAATGGGATTAGATACATTTGTGCCATTTAACATATTTAATTATTGTCATATCTAATTTCACTACTCATTTTGCCGGCAAGTTTGATTGTAGTAGTATACAAGTCATTATTCATGTTTAGGATGTAAACCCTGCTGCAAAAAGAATGCTGAAATATTTGTTTTGTTCTCTTGATTTGACTCGTCACAGTCAGCTTCAAGGACGTGGAAGCCTCTCACTCAGACAAAGCTGATGATGGTAACGACGATGATGACGTTGAGAATGGAGGTGAACAGTCGACTGCCCCCAAACCCGACACACCAGACAGCATGTTCATTTTCAAAAGCACAAATCCGTAAGTTGACATTTTTACATGATCCCACACGTTTAGATGTTGTACAGTATACTATGCATGACAAAACAGGACAAATATGTGACCCTGGAGCACAAAACCAGTCTTAAGTCGCTGGGGTATATTTGTAGCAATAGCCATCAATACACTGTATGGGTCAAAATTATTGATTTTCTTTTATGCCAAAAATCATTAGGATATTAAGTAAAGATCATGTTCCATGAATAGATACAATATGTAATGCAGGTAGACATATATAGAATTTTACATATAGGTATAAAATACAAAAAAATTCTATGTACTCCATATTCTGTATAATAGTATATTATGCCATTTTACACAGATGATCGACCAGGGCCTCATTCTTCACGATGGATCATATTTCCGTGACTTGTGGAACATTCTAGACTTTATTGTGGTGGTTGGTGCTCTAATTGCCTTTGCATTGACGTAAGTATTTCAAATTAGAGCCATCTTCCTTGTGTGACATCAAGTCAGATTTTTGATTATATAGAATGTATCTGGACTCATTCTACTTTATAGACATCTGACAACAACTCCAGGCTCAAGACCTCGGATAACTTTCAACATAGGCTCATTGTAAAAACATGCCTCTGTCAATATTTTTGCAAAACTCCAAAAACCTATACCTATACATACAATTCACTGCAATTTCCAGGTGAAATGAAATGTAAACGCAGCAAAACACTAACAAATTTTGTTCCTGTTCATTCAAATTATGATTACAGGGGCAGATTAATAAAGACTTATTTGCATGCAGTTCCTTGCACAATACTATGCTATGACCTTAAAACACTTTCACGATAGTGCACGAATTGTAAACTAATACATTTTGATGTTTGCATCACAGATGTTTGGCTTTTCTGATGTAGTAAACTTGTTCTGTCGCTTACCTTGTACAGCATTGCACTTGCAATGTGGAGCGCTCGGGTGAAGATAAAAGAGCTCAAATGCTAGTAGAAACAAGATAAAATGGCAAATGTGTTTTTACCTCAAGTTTGCTTTTGTCAACACTAGCGTTGGGGTTTCGGGTCGGATTTAGTGTGGGTGTGTTACTTTTTAGTATCACATTTCATTTCCAAACTGTCGCGATACCTTAATATGTTTCATAAAAAAATCGGAAAATGCTTTTTTGACACCACTCACTTGTGAAACATGAAAGAAGCAACATAATATATACATATTAGCAGAAATGTCACAACAGGCATGTTTTTTCCAGTGAACCTGGGTTGATAACTGTATAATCTAATCTTACTGTGACCCATTGGTCAAATGTGTCTACAATGTATATATATATTTGTATATGTGTGTACAATTTTTACAGATATAATATAATAAATGTAATTTATATGAACCATTAATCACATCAACATAAACAAATAGTACAGAAGCATATCATCCTCAATTACATCAGTAACTCAAACAGCAATGCCAAGGTCATGTTTTTGATTCCCAGGAAATGCATGAACTAAAAAAAATTATCCTTTTTAACGTAAAGTGGAAAGGCTTTGGATAAAGGGCTTTGCCACATGCATAAATGCAAATACAACCTGGGGTTTGATTATGATCCATTGTGGAGTTCGTACAAAGCCAAATCCAGAGCACAATGTGTGCAAAATACAAGACTGCTTGGTTTCAACTAACTGGTACAGAAACATACCAAATAACTAGGTCAAGATAAAAGCATGGGTCAGAATTAAAGCAAGTGAAGGAGTCTGTAATGCAGTATGAGAAGTGGCTTTTCATTCCCCTCCTTAAATCTGCATCTATGAGTGTGAGAACATATAATACTGTATATACGTACTGTAATACTGTTCCTGTGGTAACATTAGGACCTCTGGTAAAAATCCTAAATTCCCTCCATGGGAATGATTATTCTACTGTATAATACACTATCCCTCAATTAAAAACTACATATGTCAATCTTTATAGGCATTCACTGGGGGAGGGTGTAGAGTCAGACAATAAGGGTTGATCAGTGGCTAATTTAATAGATATAGGTAAGTAGGTGAACTTCTATAATTGGATAGTAATTGTGAGTTGAATATGGTTAATTAGTAGTTTTATTCTCAGTGGATAACCAGACCATTACTTTCCTGGCTAAAAGTCGACCAAAGGAAAGAAGTAGCTGCTATGCTAGGGAACTTGTAAATTGGAAGAAAGGATCATGAATAATTAGTACATGCACACTTTAGTGCAAAAACTGATCCCAAAACAGCCCAAATTTTGCCCACCCGCCCAAAACAATTTTGACCCGGAAATTCAAATTCAAAACCGCCCTATCTGGCAACACTGCCATCAACATTGTCATAATCTCTTAACAGCATCAAAGTCTTTATTTTTACTTGAGCCTGCCTATTCTTAAGGTACAATCACAAAAGCTGCATTGTCTATCATTAATAATGTAGCGATGTACGAAGCAATGCTCACACAGAAGTCACTTTCAAACCAAGCAGTTTTCTGTTGGTCAAATTGGCGAATCCGATAATTAGATGAAGTACATGCACACTTTAGTGCAAAAACTGATCCCAAAACAGCCCAAATTTTGTCCACCCGCCCAAAACAATTTTGACCCGGACATTCAAATTCAAAACCGCCCTATCTGGCAACACTGCCATCAACATTGTCATAATCTCTTAACAGCATCAAAGTCTTTATTTTTACTTGAGCCTGCCTATTCTTAAGGTACAATCACAAAAGCTGCATTGTCTATCATTAATAATGTAGCGATGTACGAAGCAACGCTCACACAGAAGTCACTTTCAAACCAAGCAGTTTTCTGTTGGTCAAATTGGCGAATCCGCGTTACCAACTTGACGAAACAATGTTAAAGGGATAGTTCACCCAAAAATGGAAATCCTGTCATCATCAAGGTATAGCCATTGAATTCCACAGTAAGTCAACGAGGTTTGGAACAACTTGAGGGTGAGTAAATGATGGCATAATTTTCATTCTTTGGGTGAACTATCCCTTTAAATGTGATCGCACCTTTAGGCTCCTGTTGACAGAACTAGACTGATGTGAATAGTAAGTAATGTCCTGCATGTGGATGAGTTATTCGACAGACTGGGAAGGATGGAGTCCAGAGAATCACATTTTCTAACTTGTTTAGAATATTTAGGCTAAACAGGTATAACAGGTCATCATTTAATACCCACTGCTATGCAAAAAGAATATAGTACATGCATGACAAGTGAAGCAAACTCTTCATTCTTTATGTACGGCGCTTCATCGGTGGAAAGAAGCTGATGGCGACTGAACTAGTGGAGGTGGTGTGTTGTGAGATTTGGCTATACGTGATATCGACACAAAATGCAGTATATGGATTTCATTTTCTTTCTTAATAGCAGGCCAAATCCTGTTCTATTTTTAAAGCATATTGCGGGCTGATTCAGAACAGGCTATGTGCCCGTGGGCTGGACTTTGGACACCCCTCATTTAAGTTATATAAGTTATACTCTTGAATGCTTGTTGCTTGCTAATATATTCTAAAGCTGAGATGGAAGTCGCACATATATAGTTAGAATATAGTGTAGTTTGGAAGAATATATACATATGATCTTAAACATACATTAAAATAGCTTCAGTTATTAAAAAATGATGGTGTCCTAAATTTAATAGTCTATTTGGGAAACCCTTGAGAGAAGCCCTAAAATCATGCAGTACAAGTCTTATTAATGAAAGCTGCCAAGCATTAGACATATGTACAGAAATGTTTATTACCAGATAATAAGATAATGCTCACAATTTATCAAAATGTTATGGCTCATTTTTTTATATATATCCTGATCGTTCCACTTGAAAGAATAAGCATGTTTGTGTTATTCAAGGAAGTATTTCTATAAAAGGATATTCCATATGTTCATAAATATGCTCTGGCTCGTTATTTAATGGCTTTACACACACTTGAGATGTTCATGTGTTCTTTCTCTTTTAATGCTTCTCTGTTGTTGTTTGGATTGTGTCTCTCTGGCTGCCAGGAATTTAATGGGGTAACAGCAGACGCTTCTCATTTGTCACATTGCCTGTCCATTTTAATATGAATTGTCACCGATCATTTATTTACTGTATGTGTGTTAATATTGTGATGTCTGATCCATGTTTGCATTTACTAATTTAAAATGTTCACTCATTTTCTAACTATTTCAGCCATGCATAGACATTCTTGGGTTATATATTAGGACCATCAACTGAACTTGTTAATTTAGTGTGATTCAATATTTAAATATGCAATTAATCATGCCTTTTCTGCTCATAAGTACCATGAGAAATTGTCCTACCATCAGTGCAGTTCAAGCTTGAAAAGCCACCTTCATGTTTTGTTCATGTGAATTGCTTTGAATATTCAAACATTATAAATATTTTTCTTCATTGCTTAGTCATTGAATGACAGGTTTAAAAATATAATAAAATATACTGTAATGCATGTAAAGAACATTATTAGTCTTTTTTGCGAGCATGAAAAGTTAGGCCTTGGGTTCTACCGGCATTATAAAGCATTTAAGATTTAGAAAATGCTATGCTGTAGTTAATTTGTAGTACTTAGGTTTTTATTTTATATGTTGCTGATATGTCAGTCAGCTTATACTGGCGTCTAGCAGCAAAGATGCAGAATCATGCAAAACTTTCAGTTACCAATTAAAGTAAGCAATTCACAGCAAGCAAATATTACTTTTTTATAAGCGAAAGCATTCATTTACAAGATAAAGTGAGTAGTATTAAGCTAGTCATGTGATTTCCCGCATGTAAGCTGCTCATTGAAGAATAAAACCTTTGTTTTTAATTTGGGGGGCTTATATGTGATTAATTGCAATTATTTTGATTAATTCAATATAAATATTTAAGTTATTGACAGCTTTTTTCCCCCCCAAAATATATATTTTCTAAAATATAATATGTTTTGTTATTCACAGAAACAACAAAGGCCGAGATATTAAGACCATTAAGTCCTTACGGGTTCTCAGAGTTCTCCGTCCCCTCAAGACCATAAAAAGACTCCCAAAGCTCAAGGTATCTGCTCTTTCATACTTTATATACTTTACATTCACAAACAGAACCAGAAAGCACAATCCAGCTCTCTGCTCACTTATACACTTTTTACCACTTCTTTGTGACTATGCCTGCTTTGAATATTAAGAAAAAAGATAAACTGAGGATCTTAAGCACTTTTTCAGTCCACATGTGACTTGACTGCAAGTTACAAATAAATTCTTCCAAAAGAGTAAAACTCAATACAATTGCTCTGTATCCAAATGAATTGCATGTATTGAGTTTTACTCTTTTTGGAAAAATAGTTTTGAATATTCAAACATCATAAATATTTCTTTCATTGCATAGTCATTGAGTAACAGGTTTTAAAAGTTAGTAAAACATATACTAGTGCATGTAGAGGACATCATATGTCATTTTTGTGAGTCTAAAAAAATAAGCCTTGGGTTCCTCCTGCACTAAATCACATTTAATATATTTAAAAAAAAAATGCTATTCTGTAATTTTTTTATTTTTTAAGTCTGTTTATTCTGCCATCTACTTTTGCTGTGGTGATAAGCTAATGTATCATATACTGTGTGTGTGTGTGTGTGTGTGTGTGTGTGTACCTGGTATTTATCACGTTATGGGGACCAAATGTCCCCACAAGGATAGTAATACTAGTAAATTTTGACCTTGTGGGGACATTTTTGAGGTCCCCATGAGGAAACAAGCTTATAAATAAAACAGAATGAGTTTTTTTGAGAAAGTAAAAATGCACAAAGTTTCCTGTAAGGGGTAGGTTTAGGGGTAGGGTTGGTGTAGGGCAATAGCACATACAGTTTGTACAGTATAAAAACCATTACGCCTATGGAATGTCCCCATAAAACATGGAAACACAACATGTGTGTGTGTGTGTGTGTGTGTTTAATGTTGTGTATTTCATACACAGAAACTCTAGTCAAGAAATATCTTATTCCAAGATAATTTCTTTGAAACAGTCTCACGAAAACACACACAATTTAACGAATGAATTAATAAATTAGGAGACTCTGCTGTCCAAATATGAGTAATTCCTCTGTGAATAATTAAAAGTAGGCTAAATATAACTTGCAGTACTTGACATTTTTCATTTTAAATCAATATGCAGTCATATACAGAGCCAGAATTATGAGAATTATCATCACACCATTTAACTAAACCATAATTGAATTAGAGATGGGAGATCATGAGAGATCTTTGGGGGGAAGAAATGACAAAGAAATCTGAAGTTACCAGCCTTGTGCACTTCAGTTGAGAAAACATAACTATTTTACAAGGCGGTGATTTTTGTATGAATTTGATTTGTATGGAAACATACAATTTTTAAATAAAAATATAAGCATGAAGGTCCACCCTATACTTCAACCCATAAACCTAACTGTTAGTGAAGCATAAGCAGATCGTATGAAAAAAGAAAGAATAAAAAACTCATCTAAAGCATTTTTTTTTCTGTCAGCTTTCAGTTTCCTGTCATTGTAGAGCAAAGTCACATGGGTTTGACTTGATATCATTACCATAGCAACCAACATGCCAGAAAATGACTGTACTGCCTGAAAAAAAACCCCACAAACATTTGATTTGATCACTTGCAAATAAAAGTGCATGCAATGCAGGCAACTACTAATTGAATGACTACAAATAAATTCAAGGCTTTAGGTAAAATTGTAATGTTGATTGTTTTAGACACTATACTGTACTGGAATGCATCATTCTGTAAACTCCAAAAACATGCATATGAAACTCATCTCATTTGCTTTGCTGGCTAAAGACCTGTTTAGGAAGGGATATGCGATATGATGATTATTTCTGTTGTCCTGCAGGCTGTGTTTGATTGCGTGGTCACATCCCTGAAGAACGTCTTCAACATCCTCATCGTCTACAAGCTCTTCATGTTCATCTTTGCTGTCATTGCAGTGCAGCTCTTCAAGGGAAAGTTCTTCTACTGTACCGACGGATCGATGGGCACGCAAAAAGAATGCCAGTAAGTGCAACCATATGCTTTATACTGTATATAGCCTACTGTATTTCTGAGTGTAGGATCAGAGGTGGGTAGTAATAAATTACATTTAACCCGTTTCATTTACTTGAGTAGATTTTTGGAATATTTGTACTTTTAAGAGTAGTAATGGTGGGTATTTTTACTTTAACTCAATGAAACATTTTACTTTTACTTTGTTGAGCAATGTTGCTCTCGTTACTTTATTTTAATACAATACGAAATGTGTAGTTTATTCAATGTGTGCTGAATTTTTTTCTGGGGCATGAGTGATGCCCCAATCATGGGTCAGTGTCTAATAATCCAAATGTAGCTGTATAGATTGCTATACAAAGCACAGGACATGCAATGATTTTGGGGCAACAGATGAAATGCCCCCTTTAAAGGGTTAGTTCACCCAAAAATGAAAATTAGGCTGCGTTTTACTCACTCCCGAGGCATCCTAGGTGTATATGACTTTCTTCTTTCAGACGAATCCAGTCGGAGTTATATTAAAAATTGTCTTTGATCTTTCAGGCTGTTTAATGCCACTCAGCGGGTGTTGCATGCATCAGTCCAAAAGAAGTTAAAGACCTGTAAATGCGAAAAAGCCGTTTCCATTGCAGTTTTGCGAATTATTCCTTTTTCGCATTGCCTGAAAAACCACCTCATGCTAGCGTAAAAACTTTTTTGCGATATATGGGAGTTTTTGCGAAATAGACGCGTTTCAATTAAGTGTATTTTCAATACGCAATTTCAATTTGCGCAATTTGAAGGGTAATGGAAACGCGCCTAGAGTCTCCTCTGTGTTTGTTGCAAAGATAACTAATTATGCTAATAATATAATCATTTAAACCAATTAAATATGATCTGTCTCGATAATAGCATGTTATTGTTAGATATATGATATGAAGTAACTAGTAACTCGCTACTTGAGTAGTTTTTTCATTGGTTGCTTTTTTACTCCTTTATTTTAAGATTCTTACTTTTTTAAGACCTTTTTTTTCACGTTTGCATTTACTAATGTAACATTTTCACTAATTTTCTCACTGTTTCAGCCATGCATAGACATTCTTAGGTTATGTTTCAAGGCTGTCAATTGAACTTGTTAATTTAGCGGGATTCATTATTCAAATTTAAATTCCGTAATAATTAATGTTTCAGTGCAGTTCAAGCTTGAAGAGCCACCTACATGTTTTGTTCATGTGAATCATGTGAAATGCTTTGAATATCAAAAGTTCAGGAACCCTGGTAAAACTGTACAAAGATTAGTATACTTTCATGAATGCTTTGTTAGTTTGTTTGCCATGGTTTGAATTGTTTTGTGTTGTGTAGAGGCTACTACATTGACTATGGGAGGGACAGGAAGGAGGTGAAGAAGCGTGAGTGGAGGAGACACGAGTTCCACTATGATAATGTCCTCTGGGCTCTTCTGACGCTCTTCACTGTGTCCACAGGAGAGGGCTGGCCACAGTATGTCCATTCATTTCTATACTGCACCAGACTGTTGTATATTTGATTACTGTACATTTTAAAATTAGTACCTCTGTTTTACTTGCTATTAGGCTGAAATTGCTTGATGATTTAGAGGCACTCCATAAACATGTTAATATATCAGGTCACGCTCACCAGTGGCTTTGTGAAGTAGGGTTACAGAGCGCAACAGTCAGGTTCTGCAAGTAAACATGGCATTACTTTTCTACATAGGGAAATTTTATTTTAACGATAACGTCTAAACTTTAAAATACAGACCTACTGTGAGCTTGGAGGTTGTTAATCGATGGTATATGCTTTTGTTGAAGCTGTCAGTTCGCATTATTTCACGAACTGTGTTTGACAGCGGAATCCCTGGTGAAAAACTACATTACCCATGATGCTGTAAAGAAAATTCCACCAATCAGAGAGTCGCAGCCAGCAAATAGCACCAAACAAGATATTTAGCTCCGCCCACTCCCATGAAGCACTGCAAATGATGTAATCGAGTCAGTCTCACTATGCTCTCAAAAACCTTAAATATTTCAATATATATATATGCATATTTTGAAATAAACTTAAAATATATTGTTTATATATATATATATATATATATATATATACAATCAACAACTTTAAATGGATTGTTTTATATTTCTCCATTGCTTTTAAATAGATTATGTCATTCACAGTGTTTCATGAGATTGTAGTTCTTTCTATGATTAAAGACATTAATTACACAGTCTGATATCTTTGTCTTTTTGTCAGATTTTGCTTCAAATCAAAGTTTGAAATGTTGTGATTCTTCTCGTAGCTGGTTGGTTTGATTCATGGCTTATAACTCTTTAACCAAATCTCTATGGGAAAACTGAATTGGAAAAATACTTCCAGAACCAGCGGCATTGAAAAAATGGAACGGCACTAATGCACTCTATACAAAGACCTAGATGTTTCTTACTGTATGTTACGGTGCACTTGGCAGCATGTGATCTTCAGTCAGCTCCGAAGATTGTTCTGAGATCTGAGAAGGATAGAGACTTTCAGAGTCTCGTCAGTGCTGAGCTTTTCATGGCAGGCTATTCTGCTGCCTTCCCAAGTATTTGTAGCACATCTGCCAAGGAAATGTGTGTCAGTGTAGATTTAGCTCTCTACGTTTTGGTGTCAGACAGGTTGCCTAAACCTCCTCTGGAGAATGGGGATGTGGAGGTGAATACTTTTGAACATTTTTTGTTTGCTAATGGACTGAAGTTCATGTAGAAAATGCCTTTCCCTGTGCATAAGTGGCTGTTTGGTGAACAGAATAAAATAACCATGTTTAAATTAGACAGTTCTCATTCATTTTAAATAAATTAATATGTTAACAAGGTTTTAGTGCTCATTAAACTATCTAACATCAGTGGACTGAATGCCATCAGAATGAAGCACTGGGCTTTGATTCCGGAAAAATGCAGTCAAATTACCAGACAGCCTTCTGTGGAAATGCAAATCGGATCCAGAATGCCAGAAATGTTGGCAAATGTCAAACACGAAAGAGCTGGGCGAGCACAATAGATGTCACATTGTGAAAGCTTTTGGCAGTGTAAATGAACAAAATCACTCAACAGTTACCGGAACCTTTCCAGAAATTTTCTGAAACCTTGAAACATACAAGAACTGAGCAAAAGTCTTATGCACATTAGATGTGACATAAAAAAAACATTTGTTTTAAGACAGTTATTCATGTTTTGCTTTAGTGTGCCAGTGTTTCTTCTTCTTCTTTTGCAAATATTGTTATAATCCAGTGAAATGTTCGTATGAACAAGGAATCCCACAACAGATGGTGTGGCCCACGCAGAGATCTGATCTCACCATCTTCAAGTCAGTCTGGGGTTCATCCATAGAAGAACTGTGGCACCTTCTCCAAGATGCCTGGCACAAACTACCTTAAAAACTGTGTGCAAGCAAACCCTGGAAAAAGCTGAGGAAGGAAGAGCAAACCCCAGTGGACTGAAGAAGCAGTTTACTTTTACACCCATATTAAAATTCCAGACTTTTAAAGAAATAGAAATGCAACCGAAGGTCTTTTTCTTTCTACTTTCTAATCGAACTTTATACTCAGTCAGAATTGGGATGTGGGTAATAGAGAACTGTAGTTCTCAGGCAAGCTAATATATTGTTATAGGCACTGTTATTTAAATGATTTTATTCCATTGTTTGATTTATGAAGGAGATTCAGAGAGCTCAGAAAGATTAACCTCCACATAAAACATTTCTTCAAGGTCATGCAGTTATGAAAGCCGTGATGCTGCTAATTGCATCGTCTGGATAACTGCTGAATAATCTCATGAAATCTTTACGTGTTCGGAAGGTCCCACCTTTGAGCGGATTTCATGACAGATCTTATCTTGTTACAACCATTTTCTCCAATTTTGGTAATTATTGGCAGATTTTTAAAAACGTGCAAATTGGTCCCCTATAAGCAGCCAGCCAACTTGTTTTCAGATTTGAAGGGTTGCCTGAAGAGTTCACAATTTACTTCTGGAGTACAGTCATCAGTTTAGAAAACATCAGTTTAGACCCAGAATTGGCGAGCCACCTCTGTTTGTTATGGTTCTTATGTTACAGTGTTACTGCTGAGACTAATGTTGAGTTGGGATCCATGTGGAGAGATGCTTGTTTAAGAGTTGATGCCAAGAATCAGTGGTTGAAAAGGCAGGAAAAATAATCTGGACTGTCATTGAATTGAGTGTGGGTTGAGTAGCATATCTGTGAAGAAGCAGGAAGAGATTTCATGCTGCAGATTTTAAATACTGAAAATGGACCCTTTTCACAGACTGTGATGATGCTTTTCCATAGTAATTAACAATATAGATTTAGCAATTAAAAAATGTAATGTACATTTGTAACACTATACTCTGAGTTATATTACCTTGGCATTCGTTTACAGAAAGAGTGTGACCATTGCTGATGGCAAATTTGACATCTTTCTCTCTTCTGACATAATCAATCTCTCTATATTATCATAGAAATACATAGAAATGTTTCTGGCTACCACTATAGAAATGTACCCAAACTATGACGACTTCCCCTTCTGAGAACCCCAAAAACGTCCATAGGTTTGTTTAATGAGAATAGAGCCATGTTTTAAGAAAACAAACAACTTTTTGAGTCTATGTAGCTGTAAATAAATGGTAAAAGATGACTTTAATTATTTGCTGAGTTCATTGGATGTATTCATTATGCCTTTCTACAGAGTTCTCCAACACTCGGTGGATGTGACTGAAGAAGACCACGGCCCAAGCAGAGGAAACCGAATGGAGATGTCCATTTTCTATGTCATATACTTTGTGGTTTTCCCCTTCTTTTTTGTCAACATCTTTGTTGCTCTCATCATCATCACATTCCAGGAGCAGGGAGACAAAATGATGGAGGAGTGCAACTTGGAGAAAAATGAGGTGAATATGCATTTACGACTCCAGTATCCAGTATACTGGATTACACATCAAGCTTTTTCATATTTTTCCACATAGCTAGGTTTTATATTAACATCATTTAGTGATATTAACGCCATTATTATGAATAAGAGTCTGATCTAAGCATGAATAAATAATAAAGGTTTCTAATCAGCAGTACTAACCTGCATGTTCCTTCGCTGCTTTCTTATCTCACTCTTCCAGCGGGCATGCATTGACTTTGTAATCAGTGCAAAACCCCTAACGAGATACATGCCTCAGAACAGACAGACCCTCCAGTACCGATTGTGGCACTTTGTGGTGTCGCCGTCATTCGAGTACACGGTTCTAGTCATGATTGCACTCAACACAGTAGTGCTCATGATGAAGGTATAACTTTCAACATACAATATTCCAGCTTGGAATGCATTCTGTCAATTTGTAAAACGTGAAGCTATATATTTGGTCTTGGTTTACATGGTCTCCATCTTTAGCTGAAATAGCTTAAATGAGATCTTTTGAGGTGCATGCAGCATTTGTGATTTATAATCGTAATGCTTTTCAGTACCACTCGGCTCCAGCTGCCTACGACATCGTCCTGAAGCACCTCAACACAGCGTTCACTGTGCTCTTCTCCCTGGAATGCATCTTAAAGATTTTCGCCTTTGGGTTCATTGTGAGTTTAATGACATCCCATTGATGTTAAAGGGATAGTTCACCCAAAAATGAAAAGTTGCTGTTAATTTACTCCTCCTCAGGCCATTCAAGATATAGGTGACTTTTTTTCTTCAGTAGAACGGTGAAGAATATTTTTAGCTGAAACTGTGCTCCTTGGTGATTCATAAAATGCAAGTCAAAGGCTACCATCACTTTGAGAGTAAAAAAAAACATATCAGGCAACACAAAATTAATACCTGGAAAGACTCCTGACGATATATTGAGGTCTTATGAAGTGAAAAGATCAGTCTGTGCAAGAAACTGAACATCATTTACAACATTATTATTACCTGTAATCCAGAGCCTCAGGCAAACGAGGAAATCCGATTCTTTTCTGCGAAGTGGTTCATTTGGACAGTTTGATTCAATTAACTGGTTCAAATAACTGATTCACCAGTTCGTTTATGTAATCACATAGTGATGTCACATATGCACAGTTATATTATTAAAACACCCAATAATGTTATGAAATGTGGATGTTTTACATGTCTAAAGCAAATAAAGTGAATAAACTAGTCTTAACTCACCTTTTTACATAAACATTGAGAAACCATAAAAACGTCCATTTTACTCATTCATTCAAGTGCTTTGTTCACGCATGCGCATATCAGTGGCTCATCAGTCTTCGGTCCAAGTTGAACTCAGTTCAGTGACTGTTGGAGGAACTGGAGCACTGAATCAGTTCATTCATCATGGGATCAGATACACAGCTATTTCGGCTCATTTCGAGTCGGAGTGACTGTCATGTGTCTGAAAGTGAGTTCTGATTGAGTAACTTATAGATCTGTGCTGCTCGAGCCACGAACTGATTCAGATGATTCAGTCCGATTTGATGAACTGGTTCATTAAAAAGAACCGGTTCAAAAGAATGATTCGTTCGTTAACTGGACATCGTTTGCCTCAAATTGCCTGAGGCTCTGGATTAGAGGTAATAATAATGTTGTAAACAATGTTCAGTTTCTTGCACAGACTGATTGTTTCGCTTCATAAGACCTCAATATATCGACAGGAGCCACGGGTATTAACTTTGTCTTGCCTGTATGTGCTTTTTTGACTCTCAAAGTGACGGTAGCCATTGACTTGCTTTTTATGAATAACCAAAGACCACAGTTTCAGCTAAAAATCTTCTTTACTGATCTGCTGAAGAAAAAAAACTCCATCTTGGATGGCTTGAGGGTGAGTAAATTAACAGCAAATTTTCTGTTCATTTTTGAGTGAACTATCCCTTTAATGAGTATCATTCAAAGAAGAAAACATTTTTAATGTACCTGAATGTATTTACTTGTTTAAAGTTTTCATTGTTGTCACACTGGTCTCATCTCACAGAACTACTTCCGTGATACATGGAACATCTTTGATTTCATCACTGTACTGGGCAGCATTACTGAAATTGTGGTAGATTTACAGGTAGGCATATTTCATATGCTGTGGTCTTGAGTATGAATCAGAAGTGTGTCTCAGTGTTGGGGATTCTGGACCACTTCAATTGTCTATCAAGTAATCTTTACTACAAGTAAACAGTTTCTTCGCTCTCTCTATTCTATATAGTCTGTGAACACCATCAATATGAGTTTCCTGAAGCTTTTCCGGGCAGCTAGACTTATTAAACTACTGAGACAAGGCTACACAATACGGATTCTGCTGTGGACATTTGTTCAGTCCTTCAAGGTAAAATTATATTTTTACTAAATGCACCACTGTTCTTCAGGGTTTGCGTGGTCATGAAAAAAAATAACTTTTAAAATTGTGATTTCCATGTCTAGAAAGGAAAAAGAAATTAGCAAAGTTTTTGTTACGAAAGAAAAAATAAATAAAATAAATAAATATATATATATATACTGTATATATAGTTATATATATGAGTTTTGCTCAGTTCTAAAAAATGTAATTAAATTAAAAAAATTAAAATAAAAAAAGGAAAGTTAAGGAAAGGCAAATAATAAATAAAGGAAAGATTTGTACAACATTCTTTTCACTCTTTTCTTGTTTCAGGCTCTTCCATATGTTTGCCTCCTAATTGCCATGCTTTTCTTCATTTATGCCATTATTGGCATGCAAGTAAGTTTTTTTTTCATATCATTACATATGGCAGTTATCAAAATGATGTAAACTTTATAATTTGATGGCATTTGCTGAATACTTCCCTAAACATCAGAATGTACTTGTATTTTGGCAGCTCTGTCTCTATAAATGATCAAATTTGTTTATTCATCTGTATTTGTGGGCTAGTGTGTGTTTAAGTGTTTTAAAGATTAGAGATGGTCCTAATCAACTTTTTCAGTGTTTCTTTTTTCCCAAAATCTTATGAGGGCACACATTTGCATCACATGTGCCAGAAATTTAGATGAATCAAATACCTGTTAGTCTGGCTTTTCAAGTAGCGATAAGAAATACTTTCTATAGTGTAGACAATATATTTGATTCTAAAAATCTGTCATCTCTTATTCTTTAGGTATTTGGAAATATTAAACTGAATGATGAAAGCCACATTAATCAACACAACAATTTCAAGACATTCTTTGGTGCCTTGATGCTGCTCTTTAGGTAAGATCACCAAAGAAAATAAATTTACTGTTATTTACTTTCATTATTTTTAGTTGAATTAGACCAGTATTCTTTCTTTTGTTTATAGTTAATGAAATATATAGTTTAGTGAAACGTATAGTTTGGCAAATATTGTGAAGCCCAAATATACGATACAAATTGTAAGGTTAAACATTATTTTTAGTTCAACCCAAAATGAAAATTATGTCATAATTTACTAATTCGTATGTTTCTAGAAGACTTCTTTTCTATACATACATATACATACATATACAGTGACACCAGCAGGTAAAGTTACAACGGGAGTCCGCGTCTCTCTTGCCTCCCCTGAGCCCATTGAGTTTTAACAGACCAATTAAAGCGTGCGGTGGGTTTGCTGGGGGGTAATTGAGAATGAATGGGGGAAAATCATGTGAGAGGAGGCAATGCCTCCATCGCGATATGATTGGATATGACTGGTTATGATCGGCTGTGATTGGTTCATGTGATAAATCCCTGAACACGTGATCTGTGTGAGTTTGTAGTGAGTAAATCAGCTTGGTGAAATGTAATGTAAATCTCTGTCTGTAACCTATATTTACTGAGCTTTGATGACTGATGATCCGAAAAATTCAAAAATAGTTAAAAGTTAACTATTAAAAAGAATAGATGAACATAAGTTCACAAATAAAATATATTGTTTAAATTGTTACGACCTTGAGTTATTATTTTGAAAGTAATGTAAACTGCTTTAAAAAAACACTAACATGATTAGATTCATACTTGACTAATAAATAGAATATTGATTACATTGTAAATGTACAAATATAT